TGCCAAAACGTTAACGAGCAAAACGATGCATATTTGACATGAATCGTAAAACTTAACTATAAATGTTATATACATTTAATATAATAATAATGGAAACCTTTGTATTCGACTTATTATTGTATTCAATTTATTGGTGTGTCCTCATTCTGCAGTCATTTTATATTTTACTCAGAAGTAAATTATTTATTTTTATCATTGATTTTTATATACCGATAGTTCGCTACTACTAAATCGTGTTCAATATTTTTACTTTTATTACTTTGAATTTTAATTAAAATTAAATCTTTAACTATCAGCATTATTTGCGTACTTCATATCTTGGTTTTTAAGTTATGAATACATTTATAACTATGTATGTATATTTGCTTGTGGCTACAAGGCGATAGCAAACTCTTTTGACTTTCTAAGAATTAACCAACTTAAGAAGTAAGAAGTGTAAACGGATAAAGGTCATAAATAGATTTCATAAATTTGTTTATTGCTTTATGTTTCTTCTTCTTTATTGGCCCGAGCTTGAGTGGAATTAAGAATGTTTGAATTCGAGTAATCTTCAATTCAACTTTATCTGCTTGTGAAGATGAACTAAACTTACCAGCTTATATACTGTATTTTAAAGGTTTTACATTCGTCACTTCAGCCGGCTCTACAAGTGAGTCTACAATGCGGTTTTACTTAGCTAAATTTAGTTGCTGTTAAGATTAAGGCAACTTTGTCCGTCTCTTGCCAAGCATAATAAATTATTATACCCAATAATATTGCCTGCACAGGATTTTCCAATAAGAGGTGTTTTTTTTAATAGACTGCTATGCCGATAGATGTCGCTTTTGAAGCTGTAACTTTTTGACATTTGACAAGTAAAACTTATCCCATTGGTAAAAATGGAACGATATAAAGTTCAACAACGCACTGATATTATAATCACTATAAATATTTTATTGAAAAATCATCTTGACTGATGAGACCGATTTCCACCTCAATAGCTGCGTCAATAAGAAAACTGTTGCATCTAAGGATCGGAAAACCTAAGATTTATTTTTGGCAAGAATCTCCATCCTCAACGTATTATATAATTATTTGTGAGGTCCGTAGGGGCCATTTTGAATTACACTTTCGAGGCTGTAGCAACAGCTAATGTGAATGGATTGCGCTATAGAGATATGATTAATTTTTTTTTTATGGCCAGAGTTGGAAGTTTTTGATCTGGGCAACATTTACTTTCAAACAGACGGTACAATATCACAGACGGAGCAACACGAAACCGTCGATTTTTTAATGGAAAGGTTTTTGCACCGTGTTATCTACCAAAGATGTGATCACACTTGTCCACCAAGAACTTGTGCTATAGCACCCTGCCACTTCTTTCTTTGCAACTACGCGAGAGATAAGGTCTCCAACAACAGCCAAAAGTCAATTCAAGACCTCAGACATGGAATTCGTAAAGCTATCGAGAGAATACAGTGGCCACTTTGCGATTTTGTAATATAAAAGTTCGTATAAATGTTAAGGTCCTGTAAGCGTATCCGTGGTGGTTATTTTGCTGACATTATTTATTATATATATCCTTCTCTTTACATATAAATAAACATAAAGAAATTTATCTCAAAAAATGTCCCCAAAAGACCACTTATTGGAAAATTCTATACTAACCGATATGGGAAAGTGTTTGCGGTCAATAACTCGTATTTACTATTTCTTTATGTATACGAGTATATACTCGCATATTATATATTATTTCATACCAGAAGTACACTCAGATGGCTTGACATTTCCTGCTAAGAGGCGATGTCAATTGGAAGTATGAATTTTCTCTAATTTTGGACGTTAGTCGTGTCAGGGCTCGAAACCACGAACCCGAATGACAGTGCGCTGACCACTCTGCTACTGCGGCCGCGTACTATTTCTAAAATTTAACTTAAATCAAACTTGGAATTTAAAATGCATCAATGCGTCGTGAACTTAACTCTGCCTTACTTTTTATACTCTCCTGCAGTTGCACTTATCCGGAACTTTCTTAATTTTATTCGGTTTCTTAGTTGTTTCTGTTATTTTAAGTGTCACTAGTGATACTCTCGTTGTGGCAACTGTCACAGATGAGGCACAAAATTATTTAATTTAGTTCTTTATGGATTACGGTAAGCCAATATCTTAATGAGCATGAATGTCATTTCTCTTTTCCAATGGCACTTAGACTGCATTATAATTATATATGTATGTATGTACATTGACTTAAACATAACAACGTAATGGAATTTTATATCTCTTGATGAATATCTAAATGAATTTTATTGCACTTTTTAATCCACATTATTGTTGACCTAGAAAATTATTTATGTTGAAATTATGTAAATATTATTACACAATTTGAAATACATGCATACATATATATGAATGTATACAAAATATTATTTTAATCATTTTCAGAATTTATTTTGAATGCACACATTTTAAGTGATGATTTCAGTTGAATTCCTACTGCAATGAGTTCAAAATTATGGTATTTATTATCATTCTTCGGGAATATGACAGCTTCTACTAGCTGGTGAAGACTATTGAAAATTATAAACAGTTTCGAATTTCCATAAAAAAATCCGGTGGATGTTGTTGTAGTGTAGGAGCAGTCCAGATCAGTCTAAGGGCTGTTTCAATAGGTTAGTATCAGAGGGAAACCCGTTTGGTTAGTGTGGCGCGGGAAATCATTACATTCAGGGCATATATTGAGTATATCGGGGTGGTCAACTCTGAAAAGGTAGGAATATAGTCGACTACGATATCTAGATCCTAAGTGAGACAGTATTATGCGGTACTCGTCCTCTTCATTTGTAATGGGTAGTGGTTTGAACCAGGGAACGCCATTCACAGGAAGAGAATTCAGGCAGATGTTCATGGGCTCTCCATGAATGGTTTTAAATAACTGTCGGTAAGCCGTCCTGGTCGTCCGGAAGTTCTTATAAGTGGTGTGAAATACCGTTTGTTTCTGACAACCAGCATTTGCGGTAGGTTATGATTTCTTGTTTCAATTGGAAGCAAGTTGCAGCTGAAGCCTATGGAATGATTGTAGAATTTAATGGTAAAACTGCGTCGAACGCTAAGTCATGCAAATAGTGATTTCGGTCCTTTAGAAGTTATGATTTTAGCGTCGAAGCGAATGAGTGTCCTGGCCAACACAAAATGTTTGAGGATGAGGAATTACAGGCTTTACTGAATCAAGCTTCATACCAAGCACTCGAAACCAACTGATGCGTTTTAGACAAACTTTGCTTGAAATCCGGCCAGAAACGACCGAAAGGCATGACAAGGTGGTTTTGCAATAAGACAACACTCGGCTCCACACGGCTGTAATGGTCAAAAACTACCTAGAGTAGTTACATTTGTCAAACTTTCCTATCACACAAGCATGTTTTTTTTAAATTAAAAGTCAGGCGTTTATAAAAATGGACCGCTTAACAACCGCCCAAGGCTTTAAAATTATTAAAACCTACTATGAATAAGATGATTCGATCAATAAGATTACGATTCGCATTATAGTCCAACTACATAAGCAATTGGTTAAATTTTAAAAATAGACTGGCTGGCCTACAGATGTAGTAACTTCCGTGCAATATCGGTTTGCCCGTTCCACCATTATCCTGAAAAATAAGTAATGCATCTTTTTATATTTTTGTTGATCAAAATATATAGATACAAATGTCTGTTTGTCCTTGTCGATATTCCAAATCATCTTTGACAATTAATTGCTTTGATTAGACGAAAAATCTCGTTCTACTGCAATAGGCGAAGATGTCACCAGCCGTTATTCCGTAGTTGATGGGTTGATGGTTTCAATAAAATCAATATTGCTGCTGTACCCATTCTTAAGAGCTGGGACTTTCTTTCACACTACAGCAGAAGCTAGCAGACCATTCACAATCTGTATCTACGTCGATTGGACGCGTTAAAATCAGACAGTGGACGGCGATTTTTCGAACAAAATTTTCGTCAGTAACGAGGGGATACGTAAATTATCAAAATAGTCGCATTTAGAGTTTTGAGATTCCTCAATAAAATTGAAGGGTAAAAAAAATATTTCATGCCTGATGCGCTTTTTGGTCCGAAGTTACGCTTAGACCTTACTTCTTCGAAAGCGACAACGAAGAGTCTGTCACTGTTAATTCGATGCGTTGGGTTCGTATCATAACCGACTTCTTTTGTTGTGCAATTGAAGATAAAACCTTGTGCAATTTGTGGTTTCTGCAAACTGGTGCTACATGCCACAAAACACGAGCGAACATGGCTTTATTGTGAGGGAAATTTCTCGTCTGCGCATTCTATCGCCTAGGCAATGTCAATTGATCACCGAAATCGGGTGACTTGCGGTGTTTTTGGGGATAAATTTTTAACTCTAGAGCACTTCAAACCCAACATATGGCAAGTGAGCGAAAATTACTTATTACGCAGCGAAGTTCGCAGGAATACGCGAGGCGGTCATTTATATGATTTAATGTTTCAATAAAATAAAAAAAAATATATATATTTATAAAAAAAGAAGGCTCAAGCTTTATAATTAAAAAGGAATTCTCACATACAAAACGGCTAACCCTGTATAACATATCTTATTTAATCTTAATTTTAGTTATTTTTTTTAACTTTTTGTCAAAATATTTTTCATTTCTCCTCCAGTTTTTTCGTATTTTCTGACTTATGCCACTTTAACTTAGAGAACACAAATACATATCTACGAACTATGTTCTACAACAATACTCTACTCTATACATATGCACATACATATATTGCTACAATGCTATACATTTATGCTAGTGATATAAATACAAGTAAATACTACACTGATGATCGGGAGCGGGTCGCAAACGAATACACAAATAAACCGGCAAGCCAGACAATCCACAAAACTTATTAAGACAAAAAAAATAAATGAAAAATGCAATTTTATTTGGACAAGCATTAGTTGAGCTTCTAGTTAATAGCATTGTGTTAGCAAACAAAATATACTGTACCGCACGAACCTCCCTGCGGGAAAAACTGCGAGTAGATAAGTTTGAATGTGTCCTCTTTCACAACGCCAGTCGGACACTCAGCCTTAAAACCGCGATAAATTCGTTTAATCTCATCCTCGGTGAAGCGTGTTGTACGACTGAGGGCACTTAAGGAATCAGGACGATAACGTGCGGGTGTCTCGAATTCCTCCAATTCGGAATCTGCAAGAAAGCAAAAAAATCAAGCATAGTTTGTGAGATATATATATTTGCATGTATGTATATATCAAAACAGTAAATTTGTGAAGAATTTGGCTAACATATACCCGTATAACAGTATAAAGTTAAATCGAACATTTCTGATTTCCAGCTTTCAATGTGCGATTTAAAGTGGTTTATGGGATTCTCTGGAAAGCGTACGGGCGCTTAATTTTCAACTTATATGACTCTGTTACATTTTCTCTTTTTTCTACGACAGTTTTACTTAACCAAATGTGGGCGCACAGCGCATTTACGATATTTGCTCTGTGTTTGGCGCGTCAGTGCATCTCAAAGGCTTACGTACAATGTCAATGTTGATAGCGGCACGCATATACGAGTGTGTGTGTGTGTGTGTGCATGTAGAGGTGTCAAAGATAGCATTAAAGTGGAAAACCTTTGTCGATATGAAATGTTTGCCCTACTTACATACACATATACGCGAAACTTCAGAAATACTAAAAAAAAGTACATTATTCTCACTTGTCTCATTGGACTGTTCATTTTATTTGCTTTTGCCATTTCTCTACCCTCTACTCGTATACTCTATCTCATCTAAGTTACCCACTTTTCATTATTTTTATCGCCATTTTGATTCTTTTGTTCCTGCGGGTAGACGAAAAAAATTGAGAATTGTCATGTGTATTCTTTATATGTACGTGTATGTATGTATGTACTTCTCTTTACAATATTTACGCTTCACTGACTCTATTGTATTAGAATTTTACCTTTTTTCTCGTCTGGGACGTGCTTGATATATATATATATATATATATATATATATATGTATATAGATATGTATGTATGTACGTGAATAACCTTTTGTTGAAGTGTACTGAAGATGTCTAATGGCAAACGTGAAGTGTCCTTTAGATGTTAAGCAGCAGCCTTTGGTATCACTTTGGGTTTTACCAAGTAAGTAAATAGTGGCTGCTTAAATCTGTTTTGCTGTGCTCTTCAAACTTTGGTTGCACTTTCTTGCTTAAAATAGATTTTTTTTTAACAAGAAAAATACGCGAATACTCATAGTTAAGAGTCATGTCCTTAAACCATACAACCAAAAGTGGTTTCAAAAATGGTTAACAGATTAATGTTATCTACATGGACTTCAGCAAAGCTTTGACAAGATCTCCCATTATTTACTTTATTTTAAACTTGATTACTGCCAGTTTTCCCCTCGCTTTTGAAGTGGATTTCATTGTACTTGTAAAAAAAAAAATAATAATTTATAAATACGAGGTGCGTCTAACTTTTTCTCTTTGGCGGTTAGCATTGTGTACTGGCATTTGGAAAGCTCGGCTTCACATTCTGGTACCATACCACCCAAAAACTATTGAAAATAAATTAAAACAAATAAGCTAAATTTTCCAATTACGGTCGCCTTTCGGCAGGAAATGCCAACCCCTCCGAGTGTATTTCTGTCACGAAATAAAGGTTCCTCATAAAAAACCATCAGCCATTCGCATTTTTGAATGCAAAATTTGACTTTTCTCCCAGAATTTTTTCATTAATTTTAATTTTATTTATACAAAGTGTAACATTCATTGAATATTAAAGAAATTTTCACAAACAAAATTGAAATTTGAAAAATTTGAAATTAGCGTTTGAGCAGTGGAACAACGAATTAGTATCCAGCTGCTCACAGTGCCCGAGATCCAGGCATCTAGAGATCTAGTTCCTACTATTTAAGAAACAAAAGACACTTTAGGCCCCTTTTATTGTGTTTATGCAGAACTAACTTTGAATGAGCAATGATGTTTGTGCAACAATTTAAATACTCATACCGCCTGCATTGTTTCCTCTGACTCGTTTTTCTGTATTAAAAACCTACTTACTAAAAGCTTAAAATAATTACTTAATTTGCTTCCCCTTTTCCCATTGATGAACCAATCTGTAGCTATTTAGTGTAAGAGGTGTAACCGTGACCTTCCGCAATCGGTCCTAGGTTCAGGGCATTACGAATAGTCACTGGTTTTTGGTAAACGGTGTGTTGGATTTTTCGATTGCCCTTTAAGCGCGCTCTTGGTCGGTGGGTTGGGAAGTGGGTAACCCGGGGTTGGTTGTCAAAAAAAAATAATGAAATATTCTGTAATTTTGGATGTTGGCCAGAACTCGAACCCATGACCATCTATATAACTCAAAAACATACAAGGTCCAGTGAAAAAGTGTCATCAGCAATATTTTTGCCGAAGGGATCAAATATTTATATTAGATTCTATCAAATAACTTGTACTTCAGAAGTGCCCTCTGCATATTTGCAAGTTTCCTCAGTTGTAAAAATCTTTCAAATGAATAAATAAATCTGCTTTGCATTTCTACGATGTAACAAAACTTTTTAGGTTTCCCATATTAACTCGTTATTGGTTTTTAGACTGAATTCTGTTAATATCAATTGATGAATCGTTATAACAATTTTTATTATAAATTTTGGTTCTGCTTATTTAATTCTATATTAATGAACCATTAAATGCTAAATTAGATTAATATTCGTTTAAATGTAAACATGAAAACTCGAGAAAACGCGCTTCATAGTTCTGCCCGCGCACTAGAACCTACTCGACGCCCTAACTAAGAGTATTCTAGCTTCTAAAATATGTCGAATTGGCAGCTGGCATTTTGAAGTCATATTCTCAGATAATTCTAGAACAGATTAAAAAAAAAAAAGGCACGTTTGAGGCCACCATGCCGCTGATAATATATCCCACACTTGCTTATGTCGTTTGCATACATACAGCTGTTTGAAACTACAATAATTAGAAACGCTCTCTTTTTGCAAGTTCTTGCTGAGCATAATAGTAAAATTTGCAAGTTTACCGTTATATTTTCTTTAAAACCACTCTTTGTTACTCTATTTACTACTCAATGCCCCAAGATTTGTAGCTGTATATTTCAAGTACTTTTGTTACAGTTGCAAATTTCGTAGGCAAAAAAAGTCCCGGAAAACTTCAGAAGTAATAGACCACAGGACAGCAGTGACCTCACGAAGAGACCTCGGACATTGAACGTGAAATTCAAGATGAATTCACTGTTCAAATATCGGCTTTTGGACGAATCTGGACTTCATGGAAGCGGAGCATGCAAGAAACCGCTTCTGACCAGAATCTAAAAAACGAAGATTGGTGCTGGACCCTAAAACAGTAGAAGTATGTCGTTAGGAACTATGTAACGAAAAATAAGAGAATTGGTATGTTCGACGGCCCATTAACCAAGAATTTAATCCTCGTTAAGTTTCACGCGTAGTGCAGCATAGTGGAGGCTCAATCATGGTATGGCGATGTTTTTCCTTTAATAATGTTGGTCCATTCTAAAGGCTAAATGGAATTTTAAATAAGGAGAAATACGTCGTCATACTAGAAAATGCCATGTTTCTTTGCCTTGGCTGAGGAGAATTCGTCTGTTATATGGAAATTTGAAAAGGATAACTATGCAAGTCACACCGCAAAGTTGACGAACAAATCTTTTGACGAAATTTCATCGACGTTTTAGAACGGCCATCGTCCACTACAGACTTTCGATGCAAAATCGGCGTGAGACAGTGTTAAAGCAGAAGGGCTATGCAACCAAATACTAACTAAATGTAAACATATTATATTAATATCATTATTTTTTTCGGATAAAATATTTTCGCTTTTAATTATTTGGCGCACTCAATTCATGTATTTCACAGGTTTTTTTTACCACAAAATATCTAAAAATTAATTTTGTGTAAATTGCTCAGAATATGATTTTAAGTTTCAAATGGGTTTAAATAAAATTAGAAAAGTAATTATGGAAATGCGTGCTTTAATGGCAAAAAGATAATTCAATTTAAAATAAGCATGGTTTCTAATTAGCTATCCACAGCTGTAAGTTGTTTCCTTATTCGCATTCACTTATTGCTTTGCGCCTTTCAATATCCTACTATAGAAGACTTTTAGAAATAAAAAGCGATTTTGCATAACATTAATTTTAATATTTAAAAAATAACTGTGAACAGAAAACTCATTAAAGTTGTACAGAGAAATTTCTCTCAGAGAGAAACGTCACTTGCTTTATAATAATTTTAAAATGAAAAGTTAACTGTTGTATTCGTTCACTGGTGTAATTATTAGATAATTTACACCTTGCTTATTTTTGTTAATTTTTACAGACAAAAACAGAATTTTTACGAAACTACAAATTAACAAAAATTTATACGCTACAAACTCCTTGGGCTCTTTCTTTAGAACCCTCAATGATCTCTTCATTTCATTTAAAACTTATAAGCAAACTCAAGAGCTCTCTGCTGCCGGCGTAACATAGACTAATATATTTTCGCTTATAAATAAACTAGTGTAGTAGATTTGTAAATAGGTATGTATGTCCGTACTGTTGTTAACACATTACTCGTACTTTAATATGTATCTAAGTGCTTTTGCTTCTCGTCTTTCTTATCTGTTCAAAAAAAACTGCAGTTAATTAAAAGTTTTCCCATCTTTTTGTTGAAGGTTTCTTTATATTTCTGTTCTTTTTTTATTTTGTTTGCGTTTATTTCTGACAAAGTGGATAGTTTTGTGGTGTAGAGGAAAAAAGAAATTATCACACTAAGGAAGCACTTCAACCAAAGGAAAATGCAATATGCCGTTTTAGGTCATCAAAACTAGTGTGAGTTAGAGCCTTGTGCGAAATGAATGAAAGGAAAAAATCATTAACCAAATGGAAAGCTTATAGCGCGAGTTGAAGTTTTTTTTTTGGTTTGAAATTACAACTAAAATAAATTTTTACAAAATTATTCACAAAAATTATTAACCTAAAATTATGTAAAATATTTCCTTAATATCAATTTATTCAAGTATACATAATTTAATCCAATTAAATGCAATGAAACTTATCAAATCTAAAACCATTTTCATCCTGCGTGTAGAGCGAAAAAAATATATATATACGAGTATATGTAAAAAAATAAAGTTCGGCGCATGCGTCTCGTACCCATACATTTTATATTA